GAGCGATATAGGTGCTGGAGATGAATGGTGCGACGAATTGTAAAAACCATGATGGTAGACTGTCTGGACCTTATACCGGTTGGGCAGGCCTGTTTTAGCATGTGTAGGACGGGTTGTTGATGTTGATGATGATTATTAATTGTTGTTGATTTAGTTGGTGGGGTTTGATAGAACAGGTCGGTAGACATGTAGGTGTTGAGTGTGTTGGTATCAATGTGTTGTGAGGTTGGAGTGTTGAATGATTTATCAGAGCCTCTAATTTTGTTAACTTGGTCCCATATGGCTTCGCTTCCACGCTTGATGTTAGTGAAGGTTTTTGAGTTGAAGTTTATGATAAGCGTGTTGATGTATTTGGTGATCGCTGCAGTTTTGAGATTGAGTTCTGATTTCATGAATTTATTTTTCTAGAGAAGTAGATATCTGATGAATGGAAGAGTGATGTTTTGATCGTGGTGTTTGATGTTAGGTAATACGTGTTGTAAGTTGAGTTGATAATGTTAAAAAATGTGTCAAAATATTGTTGCAGAAAATTATCTATTAAATTAGTTATGACCATATTATCGTAAATATTGTTATTATTATTATTATTATTAGCATTATTATTGACACTATTGCTATTATTATTATGATTATTATTATTATTACAAGTATTATTATTATTAGTAAAACTATTATCATCATTAATAATATTAATATTACCAAAATTAATAGTACCATTATTAAGAATTGCTGGTAGAATATTGTTGGTGGTAATGATGCTTAATTTAAAGAAATTGTTGAAGTTGATGTTGTTGAGATGTCGAAGGCAGGCACTACTCTGTAAAGGATGGCGACGGTAAAATGAGATGACTTTTCTGGTGATGTTCTTTGTTGATGTTGAATTAGTTGGTGGAGGAGGAGCAACCACCCCAAGATGATAAGACAAAACATGTGACCTATAAGTGTGACTGATGTCCAGGTTTACATTAATTCCATATATTCCGTCATGGTTGTGACCTTGGTGGTTGGAACCCCAGAATATAGGGTGTAGACTTGTTTGAAGGATGGAATGATGATCGCTTGATATTTTTTTGGTACTTACAGGAAAAATGTATCACTTACAAGTATAAGTACTGAAAAAAGTACTCAAGTATAAGTATTTAAGTACAGATTTTTATATGTACTTGAGTATATATATATTTAGTACCACATTTGTACTTAAGTACGTACTTAAGTACAAATGTACTAAGTACTCGTCATCACTGGTTCATTTCTTCCAAGTTTGAACTTTTTTATTCTAACCGCATATGAAAGTTTAACCATATCCCATGTGTTATTTCTAATTAATCTCTTTTTCCAACTTAATTCATAATCTAGGTTTTACATTTGACGCAAAAATTTCTTAATCTAATCAAATTCTTTTGGTTATTAGTTGTTCCTTATACCTTTTTCTAATGATCTTTCTTTTTACTTATTAGTATCTTCTCTTATCCTTTCTTCTATAAACTAAACTAGTTAAATAATAATAATGAAATTATAAACAATAAAAATGTTTAACTTTTTATATTATGGACTACCAAAAACGCTAGGCCATCACGCCGCCCATATTTTCAAAAATAACTGTAGTAAGAAAACTATATGAAAACTATATGAAAACTAGTCACCTGATATATTCCATTAAATGTCCTCTCGGTGAGTGTGGGCACAGAATCATATTATGCTATATTATTTAATGTTATATTTATGTTATATTATTTTTTCCCTTGTAGTTCACGCATTTTTATTGTTTATAATTTTATTATTATTATTTAACTAATTAGAAACATTTTATTTTGCTAATCGGTCTAGAGCAGCGTCACCGAATTTAATTTTTCTTTGCAAGTACCGGAAATGACAAATATGAGATGCAAATGAAAGCTCCACTCCACTCTAGATAATTCAAGAAAATGGAAACTAAACATCCACTCTTACTTTCCACCAATCAAAACTGCCACTCACTAGTTTCAACACTTACATATTTTTAATTCAATAATTCAATACTTTACTTTATATATATATAACCCTTTTAACTCTATTTATTTTTTAATTTTATAATATTCTTGCATGTTGTAACAGATTCTGCCTCTGTGAGATTCTGATTTTTAAAAAAATAGACCAAAACCTTTACTTGGGGGAATGTATTTAAAAAGCATTTTAATTGAGTTTTGAGTCAAAAAAAAACTTTTGCGTTCAAATATGTTTGTATTCCATTTATATACGCGCGTTATTTTCTCAACATTAACTTAGCAGATAACCAACTTATAAAAATAAGGCTCTACGTAAATCAACAGAGCCAACTGAACGAATCAACATATCCGTTCCAATAATCAACTTACCTGGTAACGAATTTAGTTTAAATGATTTCAACAAACTTCTTCATCATAGTACCAACACTCATCTTGCTATCGAACAGCATCTGTGCCACGTTAGGCCTCAACTGTTACGGCGGGCAGCACGAGAATTGTCAAGTTGTTGATTACTGCTTGAAAATTGTGGTTTACACCAATGCAAAAAGTTATTAAATATTTTATTCATTTTTAACTAAATTATTTCGTTATAAATGATAATTTAAATTCGAATTGATAATATGGTTCATAACATCTGTTCTCTTTATGCTGCAAGTTTGTCATTGACACAACGTACACACATAATTGCATGTGTTCAAAGATCCAGATCACACAATCAAACAATGCCGTAGAGATGGAGCTTAGTAATTTCAGAGCTATATCGTGGCCCATATGATCACCATTTCCCACTTACAACCCGGTTGTAGAACACTTACGAACCGCTAACATTTTCATTTAGTGAACAAATCAACTAAAATTGTATTAAAGATTGCAGTTTTCAAAAAATTAAATGAGATGGTTACAAACAAATAATTTGAACACTGTAAATTTTCAACATTTGCAGGATCAGACATCAACGTAACCTACATAAGCTGCTCGCCATATTACACGGAATATTACGAGTTGGAGAGGAAATACGGCTGGACCGCTGATTATTTCATATGCAATAATCGTTCCTACTGCAATGCCGCTACATTCATTTACATTTGTAACATTCATAAGGTGCTGACTGTGGTGGTCTTTTTAATGCTAACACATTTAATCTGATTAAGTAAATCATAATGGTCCGTGTTGATCTATTTCTTTAATTATTTAAATTTGTTTTTGGTAGAGATGAACATAATAATAATATTTTATAAAGCATTAAATGAATAATATTGTAAATGTGTAGACGTTTTTGACAATAATAAGTATGTGACATTTCTTTGAGAACGATTTTAACGTGTGGAATAGGTAAGATGAGGATTTTTCTAATTCTGTAATAGTGTTTAATTTATCATATAAAATAACATTGACTAATATCATGTAGTTAGATATTATTAATCAGTGGCGGATCTAGACAACTTTGACGGGTGGGGGGCCAAAATGTTAAAAATGTTTAAAAGTTTAATTTTTTTTCAAATTTGGACAGGGGACCAAAATTTGTGGTAGCGTTGCCAAAATTAGGCTTTTTTTGATATAAAATGGTGTTTTTCATGCAAAAACTTAGTTCTTTTAATAAATATACTGCTCCCAACTGGGTGATGATCTCTCCGGCCTTACCCCAAAATCCGCCAATGAATCTTGTACATTCAGTACCGTATTTTAATAGCGCTCTGAAATTCCCCTGATTGTTATCAGATTTGTTATCTAATGCACCGTCATTCCGGTGTCCACGCAAAGCAAAATTCTGTCTTTCACAAAGTTTAATAGTTTCAATAATAGTGTTAAACAATTTTCTGTTTTGCTTTATTTTTGTGGAAAGAGCGGAGTTTGATAACTCTAAAACATTAGTTTTATTTTTAATCAAACGCAGAAACATTTCTGATTTTTCTGTAGCCTCTTTATGAAAAGATGTCGCTTGATGACAGCGCCATTGATCTAAAGCTGATTTATAACGATTTAAAGATGATATAACAAATACTCCGACTGAGCCACATGATGGATGTCGATTAGCATAAAATACACAAAACTTACAGAATGCTCCTTTTTTCAAATCAGAATAAGACAGCCAGGAAAATTCTTGAAACCAATGGAATTTGAAAAACCGTTTTCTTTTACCATCCAACACAAATGAAAATTTATAATTCTCGTCAGGTTTCTATGGATTTTTCAAAAGATCGTATCTTAAATTATTCGAAATGCTTGGGATTTCTGCAGTTGCATATTGTCCAATATCTAAAGGCATTGTTTTCTTTGAAAAACTCTGACATGAATTACCAGTTTTGTCTGAAACATCAGTCATGTCATCGTTTAAATTTAATGAAAGGCCTTCTTTCAAGACATCAGATTCTATAATGGAAAAAAAACGTTGAGATTAAATTTTTTAATTTTCCTACCAGAGCTGAATAGTTAAATACTACAAACTTAATTCAAGTCTAGTCGGGTAATGACTGGTACGCATTAAACCTAACCCAAGAAATGTTTTTATTATTCAGCTTATTGCTAATTTTTTTAGTTGAAAATACAAAATTATTTCATATGCAATTATTGAAATATCTATGTATTACCATTAACAGCCTCAACTGTATTGAGATCATCGCACTGCTTCGGTTTTTTTGCCGTAGTCGGTTGAAAAAAGTTTAAAATAACTACTTTTTTTAAAAGACATTTTTTTAATTTTAAAACGAATTCAAATGCAAACTGATTTTATGAAACAAAAAATATAATCTAAGACGCGCCAAATTGTAAATGGAATAAAACGTGAACTGCGAACAAAACATAAAATAATGAAAAGTCTAAATAAATAAAGACTATAATATTTTTTGATTTACTTTTTGTTGATATTAGTTTTCAATAAAAAAATATACTAAGAAAACATGAATTATTTTTATTTTGTGCCGCAAAACACAATTTAAGTTTAAAATATGAATTGTATTCTGAATTGAACAGATGATAACGGGGGATGCCATGGCCTCCCCGGCCCCCCTAAATCCGCCACTGTTATTAATCTATTATTATTAATACGTCTCAACCATCATATCTTCATCATACAACTCTTCTTCTATATGAAATGGTTTGCCCGCCATTATCCGTCAACAACCAACCATCAAACTTTTTAGGAAACGATTAAAGAACTTTTTGTTTATCCAGGTCTACGGAAACAGTGCATTCACCGTCTATCATACTATTTTCTCGGTCGTGTTAAGGTTTGGTAATCAAAGTGTCGGAGTGGGAGATTTTGGCCGGGGTAAGAATTTTTGAAGCGCCGGAATCGGATATTTTTCATTTGACTCAGATGACCTGCTAATAATCAAAACATAATTCATTACATAATTCAAAACATAAAATATTAGTCACATCGATCAGATTTGGTCCAAGCGATACAATCCTAATTTTTAACATACGTTGCACATACGTGTACAAAACATATATATATATATATATAACATAATAATATATATACATATATATATATGTACAAAACATATATATATATATATATGTACAAAACATATATACATATATATATATATATATATATATATAAATATATATATATATATATAGTTCACTTACGTTCGGAAAGTTTTCTTCACAATTTAAATTTTTCAATAAATTTATCAATTTCGAGTTTAAAAAATTTAATTTTAAGTTATTAACAGTATTGGAAAATTTATTTAATTAATAATTTTCAAATCCTGTTGTATTTCGCCGACTAAAGAAAGTGAAAATGGAAAACACTAATCCTAACATAACCGCACGGACAAAGAAGGTGACCAATAAGATGAGTGATATTGCGGGATTGCATCTGTGTGAAGGTTGTAGGAAAGTAAATGAAGAAAGAATAAAAACACTGACTAATTATGAGGAGGAAGGATTGCTTGTTGCTATCAAACAGTTAGAAGAAAAAATGGCAAATGAAGTCAGATGTCTAACTCAGATGATGGAAAAAGTCACATTTAGAGAAGAGATGCTAAAAGAACAGATGAGGGAACAAACTAACTTGAAGAATAGTCTCAATGAGGTAAAAAATCAGGTAGCCAAGGAAGAGGAAATGACAAAAAAGTGGAATGAAGTAGTTAAAGGTAATATTGAGAGTTTGACAACAAATGTCAAGGAAATACATTCATCGGTGCTGGACACAAAAAATCATCTGGATGTTGCTAATGAAAGAGATATCCGTCGAAACAATTTAGTCATTTTCAACATACCAGAAAATGAAAGTTTTTCTTGGAAAGCTGATAAAGAGAAAATGCTTCAGTTGTTGAAAGAGATAACTGATGAAAACTTGGAGAAGAAGGTTTCAAATGTATTCAGACTCGGTAAAAGGGTGAACGATCAAAAGCCATGGCCTATTTTAATTAAATTATTGAATTTAACTACTAAAAACCTGATACTAGAAAACTGTTTCAAACTGAGGAGGAGTAAATCATTCAATGGAGTCTACATTAACCATGACCTTATTAAATTAGATAGAGATATTTGTAAACAGCTTCTCGATGATTAAAAGAAAATTGCAGAAAAGGACGACATTAATAACTGGATATTTAAGATAAAAGGACAACCAAGTGAGTTTCATGTATTTGTTTTTAAAAAGACAAATTTATAAAGAGATCAAAGTCAAGAGAAGGCAGTGAGTTTAATTATAATCATCCTAGTGTGGCAAAGAATCCTAATGATGTGCTTAATGTTTTGTATACCAATGTTGATTGTCTCACAAATAAATTTTCAGAATTGAATCTATTTTTAGATGCATCGGATTTAAAGTATGATTTAATAGTTATAAATGAAGTAAACCCTAAAAATGTTAAAAACTCTTCATGGAACATTAACGAATTTAATTTGCCTGGATATAGTTACCTGGTTTCAAATTTCTGCAAAGCAAGTTATCGAGGTATTATGTTATATTACAAAATCAATTTGCAGCTGTTTAGTGTTCAACTGGATTCCATATTTGATGAATATTTGTGTGCCAGGATTAACGTCAGAGATCAAAATTTAAATTTAATGGTAATTTACAGAAGTCCTAATTTAAGTAATGATAATAATGACAATCTCATTGGTGTCTTGAATGAGTTTGGTGATTTGTCTGGTAGACATCTTGTTTTGGGTGATTTTAATTTTCCAGATATAGATTGGAAGCTGAGAGTTTGTGCAGGTTCTGACTACAAGATTGAAAATAGATTTTTGCAGTTTATTGATGATAGGTTTTGGCTGCAGCATGTCAACGAACCAACAAGATATAGAACTAACAGTTGTCCTCATGTTTTGGATTTAATTATCACGTCTGAAGATTGCGTATCAGATTTGCAGTATTCATCTCCTCTGGGCAGAAGTGACCACTTATTGATTTCATTTAAAATTTTTGAAATTTCAGTTTTGCACAGTAAACCTAGGAAGAAGTTGTGTTTTAATCTTGGACAGTACGATGCAATTAACAAATATCTTTCTAGCATGTTATCTGTTGATGCAACTGTGGATGTAGACCAAAAGAGCAACGTAGAAAATTTATGGCAAAAATTTTGTTTTTTGATTAGTGAGGCTACTTCAAAATATGTTCCTATGAAAATATGTGGTAGCTGTGTTGTTAAGCATGTCAACTTTAAACTGAGGCGACTTATCAAGCTTAAGCACTACTATTGGAAAAAAATCTATAAATATGGAGACGTTGACTTATTGCAAAGTTTCAGGTCTACGAGAGATAAAGTTCGAGCAGAATGTAAACAGCTGGACAGAGATAACCAGAATTTATTGCCAGAAACTATCATAACAACCCATAACTGTTCTGGAAACAGGTGAAGAAGAAAATAACAACAGTGGCAGGGTTGAAACACTCAGAGTACAGAACACAGATCTCACGGGTGATGATGAAAAAGCCCAAGCTTTGGCAAAGTTCTTTTCATCGGTTTATAAACTTGACAATGAGGTTAATTATAATAACTCGTTATATCCATTGGTTCCGGCTGCCGGAATGGATGAATTGCGGTTCAATGATGACGTAGTGTCTAAAAAGATTTCTTTATTGGATAAGAACAAATCTGCAGGGCCTGATAATATTCATTTACGGATATTGTTGGAAAGTAAAACAGTTGTTGTTTCTGCAGTTAGGCAAATTTTTCAATGTTCACTAGATACCGGTATGATTCCAGCAGATTAGAAGGCTAGCATAGTAATACCAATACACAAAAAAGGAAGTAAAAGTTTTGTTAGTAACTACAGGCCTATTTCTCTTACTTCTGTGTGTTGTAAAATGATGGAATCAATTATTAAGGACCATGTTTTTAATTATTTTCTGACGAATAATTTATTTCACCGAAATCAATATGGGTTTTTGCCCGGACGATCGACGACTCTTCAGTTGCTGACATTTTTGGATAAAGTTACAATGGGTGTTGATTGTGATGAGGAGGTACACGTCATATATACTGATTTCGAGAAGGCTTTTGATAGGATATCTCACAATTGTTTGTTACTGAAACTAAAGAAATATGGATTCGATAACAAAATTCTTGTTTGGATAAGTGAATATCTTAAGAAGAGAAACTTCAGGGTGCGAGTGGGTGATGCATTGTCTTCAAAGTTTGATGCTACTAGTGGAGTTCCCCAAGGTAGTATCCTGGGACCTCTACTGTTTACAATTTATATTAATGATCTCCCTTCAGCATGTGAGAATATATATCTTTTGCGGATGATGCAAAGATGTTTAAAATTATCAAATGTCCAGATGACTTGAAGTCCATGCAACTAAATGTGAACAATATGCAAAATTAGCTAAATGTCTGGCGTATGATTCCAAATGTAGATAAATGTTGCGTATTGAAGTTCGGGAATAAATATAATAATATTTATGAAATGTGGGATTCTGCCCAGGTCAAACAAGTGATCCAAGTAGTCAAAGTAATAAAAGACTTAAATGTGTTTGTTGATGATAAACTCACTTTTAGAGATCATATATATAGTAAAGTTAAGTTAGCCAACACAATGTTGGGCATCATAAACAGGCATTTTAGACTTATTGATGAAGAAGCTTACCTATGTTTCTACAAAGGCTTGGTCATACCACATCTAGAGTATGCGGTACAGGTTTGGTGCCCACATCACATAAACCTAATACAAATGATTGAAAAAGTTCAAAGAAGAGCTACTAGATCTATCCGTTCTTGTTATGGTTTAGAGTATATTGATAGATTAAAAAAATTGAACTTGCATTCTTTGAAATATCAAAGAACTAGAGCGGACCTGATTTAAAATGTTGGTGGCCAATCCAGATACTGATCATTCGTTCATGTTGCTCAATAATGATGGGAGAACTAGAGGGCATCATATGAAGTTGTCAACAGGTTTATCTCACAAGGATGTTAGAAAATTTTTTTTTTGTAACAGAGTAGTCGCGGACTGGAATAGACGCCGCAATCTGTTTTTGACTCTCCAAATACAAATGTTTTTAAATCTCGTTTGAATTTGTTTTGGGGTGATGCTAAATTTCAATATAGGTGATACTTTTAAACTGACGTTTCAATTGGATGAGTGTGCTGATAAGTAGGAATGGTTTGAGATTTTTAATCTATTAGTATGATTGAATAAGAATTTTTCATGGATGGATGGGAGTGGATTAATGAGAGAATTACTTATGCAACATTTATAATACCCATTATTATGAGGTTAATGTAATAATTATCATATGGTAAAAATATGAGCATAAATATAGGTAAAAATATGTACTTGTTTTATTTTTTATCAGTAATGACTGGGAATATGTATGATTGACTTGGATTGATTATTTCATTACCCATTTTATGGTTGAATGCATGTGCGTATTTCATTTATAAATTTTTTGGTTAATTATATTTTATATTGACTTCATAACTTTCTTATTATTATTATTGTTTTTCATATGATTGTTTGGTTTTTTTTATTGATTGGTAAATAGTTAATGAAATTTTTAGGTTCTAATATAATTATCTGATATAATAATCAATGATTTATGAGTAGGTGGGTATATGAGTTGGTATATGGGTAGGGGAGGTTAAGGAAATTAGATGGATGCATGAATGTTTGTTTATTTTTTCTATTGCATGGGAAATGTGTAGTTAATTTTATGCTATTCAGGTGTAGGATGGGATTAATGGGGTTAGATGGATAAAGTATTTTATTATATTTTGGTTTATAAGTTTGCATTTATGGTGACACTCAAGACACTGTTAGTGTTAATTTATTGTTTTTGGAAATTATTTTCAATCTGCCATGGTATAATGCATTATCTTCGTGATTATACTTGTGAAGCAATTGTACGAATGTATCGTGGTATGCATGTATAATACTATGTATTTTTTTTCCTGTAAATTCGGTAATGGGCAATAGCCCGTGCTTTGTTCAAATAAATAAATAAATATATATGCCGACAAAAGTTTAAACAGTCATATTTTGTAAATGACAAACTATGTCCAGTTTTTGAATATAATCATTAACTATCCAGCCAACTATCCTACAAATAATAATATCCGGCCAGTCAACGACATAACAGACAGTGTATAAATTAATGTAGTATTATATTATGAATATTTAAACGTATACATTAAACAGCATGCGCCAAATAAAAATTATAATAAAAATAAAACGAAACCAGTATGAAAATGACATTCCGCTAATTATTATCGAAACAACTCCATTGCAAAAATCTCGGTCGTCGCAATAAAAGCAAGTATTGACTGGCATGTGGCCAACGCATTTGTACTGGTAGATGTACTTATCACATGTTAGATGGTAATCTGGGCTGTCATACGCATCGTCTGAAGTTTCAGCGAAAAATTTCGATGAAAAAAAATTTAAAAAAAAAACAATAAGTTAATAATGTAAGGTTTAGGCTATAAAAATCATTATTATTATTATCATTCTTTCTTAGATATTCCTCAGAGGTTATTACAACAAACACATGCTGCATAAACACACGTGAATCAACGCATCACACACTTTTAAATGTGATGGGCGGAGATCTCAATACATTTGAACCAGGACACTGCATCATCGATGCCAGGCACCTCCACCATCAAAAATTAATAAATTTGTTTGAGAAAATCAATGTTTTTTAACTCTGTTATTTTATGAACTTTCTTTGGTTAAAAACATCATTCAAAAACATTAATTAGACCAAACATCGACCAATTGTGTAGTACCTAAAATATCGAATAGTTACCAATAGCTTAAACTAAATAACATTATACAATTAATTTTTTAATTAAAAATTAATCTGCAAAAATATTAACACACGATCGATAAACTAATTTAACATCAACAATTCAGTATGTCAAAAGATTATTTTCATATACTAAACAAAATTCTTCACATAAATAAGTAGGCACTCGACTAATAAAGAAAACAGTCAGTCAACCAACAACCTTCATTTTCGTTGTGGAACTTGACCTGGACACAATATTTTGCCCCCCGGCACACGCCCTGCCTGTCCTGCGAATCATGGCAGTCCAATGAAAATGTGAGAGGGAGGGAGCAAGTGAGTAGAAGAAGCAGCAGTACTAATATAGGTGCTGACGAATTGTTGGATGGGGGCTGTGGTGGTTGGGGTGGTGGTGACATTGGGAACATTGGAAATGAGTGAGTGGTAATAACAAAATTTAAGACAAATTTTGAAAACAAGAGAAAAAAGAAATGTTCAATAAAAACAACAACAAAAACGTTAAAAATAATAAACAATGTTTAATAATAATGAAAAAAGATTTAAAACAAATATGAAACATGTTGATGTTAAGGAAAAGCAAGTGGTCAATATTATAGCCGATGAAAAAATAGAAAAATAATTTAGAAAATCGATTATGTCTAATGTTTCAATGTTGATGGCAATCTTTTGTAAGGTTGTGAAGATGGTGATTACGCGGACAAATGTTATTAATACATTGACATTCTGTAGAGTATATTTTGCAACAAAATTTTTAAATTAACAACAAAATATAATTAATGTTATTATAAAAAAATTAAATACTCTAAACAGAATTAACTTCTTCAAATAAAATTAACATCCTTAGATATATACAAATTTTTCCGCAACACGAAAATTAATCCGTATTTAAACTGCCCATCTTTTTAAAATTTGGATGTTAAATATAATATCTATCAAATGATAGATCATCTACAATTATTTCATAATGAATAGAGTTCTATTTTGTTTACTACTCAAATTGTATTAAGCAATCTAAAGTTTACATAGAAATATTATTGTTAGAAATTTATAAAGTTATTTATTATATAAGCACAATATACATGTATGCTTCTGTATCTCTATCCAAAGATTTGTGGAGCGCCCTTATTGAATAATTTTAGAAAGGCTAGCTTCACTCGGGAATGTCAAAGCAAATGATGTTTTAAACGTTTTTTGAAAACATGTCGGTTCATGTTGTTGAATTTTTTCAAATCTGCAGGTAGTGAGTTCCAGATTTTCACAGATGAAACGGAAAATCTTCTCTTTCCTAAACGAGACAAATTGAATTTAGGAAGGACCGGATCACCATAATCGGAGGATTTCAGTAGACCGCAGTTATTAATTTCGAACAACTAGCCAAAGTCTCGCCACGATGTTCTGAACGGACTGCAAATCATCACGTAGGAATAGGTTGATACTAAACATAATCGCGTTGCAGTAGTCAATTTTTCTCCAGATAAAACTAAAAACGAGTGCTTTTGTTGACTCAACTGTCAAAAAACGTCTGATTGAGCTTATTCTGTGGAGTTGGTAAAAGCAACGCTGGCAAAATTTAGGAATATGTTTTTTAAATGAAAGATGAGGATCCAATATGACCCCGAAATTTTTTACTGAATTTTTGTAGCCATTTAAACGCTTGAGGCCGTGCGGCGTTTCCGTCCACAAATATTGAATTTTCTTGACATTGAGTTTAAGCTTTTTTGATGATATCCAGCAATCAACTAAGTCTACTGCATTTGACAAAAGAGAGGAAACTTGAAGTAATAGCCCAAATCAGTAAAGTTGATTATCAAAAGCGTATAGGCAGGACTGAAACCACCTGAGGGCATTACCACCAATACTAAATAAAGTAGACGCTTCAATAAAATCTTGTGGTCAACTTTGCCAAAAGTAGCACTTACATCAAGAAGTGCAGGCAATGATATTGTTATAACTGTCCCGATCGACGACGAATTCGTCTAATCACAGTGGAAAATAAAGACAATATAACATCCAAATTATTGATTTATTTATTTACAAAACAAAATAATTAATTAATCAATCAATAATCGCCGTCAATTAATTTCACTAATAAAAGTTAATGTTCACACAAATTAACGTTCAGAAATTATCGCTTTCGAAATAAAAATTCACTAACGCTTATTGCAAATATAATAAAAATAAAACGCAGAGTCAAATATCAAATATTGCTTTCGACACTAACAATCAATCGTTTTTTAATATCAAATTTTCAATAACCACAATCAATACTCGCATGTCGTTATATATCCGTCTTACCAGCGCTTCTCAAACTTCCTAGATATCTAACTGTCAGAAGGTTCTAGCAAATATATTTGTGACGGTTATAACACTGCCCCCCTTTCAGTTCTGTTCGTCTCGAACAGAGTCCGTTGCAACGGCTGCATAGAATGGAGCCAGTCTGTCCAAATGAACAATCTCATTCTCGCCCGCGGCTTCTGATGTTTTTGAATTCGGTACACGATGTCGTTCAATCGGGTTATGATCTGATAGGGTCCTTCCCAATTTCGATGAAACTTTGGAGACCGTCTTTTTTTCTTATGAAAGTTATGCTGCCATATCAAATCGTTAATGTTAAATCCAGCATTGTTTCCCTTTTGATCGTATCGGGTGTTGGTTGTTTCATTATTCTTTTTTAACTTCAGGCGCGTGTATTGGTGGATGTTATTTAACAACCGACGGAGATTGTCCACATAATCTGTTATTGATTTTGGTACGCCTCAGGTGGTACACCATATTTCATATTTGTTGTACTTGTAGTAGCTGTGTAAACGGCACTTCGATAGGCCATGAGAAACAATGGTATTTGTCGGTCCCAGTCTTTTTGGTTTTCGTCAACTACTTTGGCCAAATGTTCAATTAGTGTTTGGTTAAAACGTTCCACCACCTCATCGGACTGGAGAGTAGAGAGGAGTTGTTTTGCAATTTTTTCCGGTGTCCATCCATTTTCTAACGTTTTCGCGTAATATTTTGTACAGCTTTTGTTTGCACTTTTTCTTCTAATTGACTGCAGTATTTACAAACTGGTAAACAAAGTCGATAAGAAAAAGCATCGGCATTGTTGTGGGAGGTAGTATGTAGCTAATCCGAAGAAACTGCGCAAATCATTTTTAACTTTCGGAGTTGGCCAATTTTTCACCATTTCTACTTTACTTGGATCTGTCTTCACTCCATTGGAAGATATGACATATCCCAAATAATTTACTTCTTTTGCAAAAAATGTGCACTTCTTAACGTTCAGCTTTAATCGCTACTCGAAATCTCAAAAATATATCTCGTAAATTCTCGATATGCTGAATCACTTTCCTAAAACAATTATATCGTCTAAGTAGACAAGACATACACATTCCATTAGTTGTTCAAACGTAGGTAGCTGGAGCATTGCACAGTCGATACGGCATTACCGTGAATTGCCACAAATCTGATCCTATTGAAAATGCTGTTTTTTCAGTCGTATTTCTCGATCTCTACTTGCCAATATCCGCTTTTCAAGTCTAGTGTGGAGAACTAGTGTGAACTGGACAATGTGTCCATGATGTCATCTATTCTAGGTGGTGGATAACTATCTTTTTATGTCACTTTATTTAGCTTTCTGTAGTTTACACAAAAGTGGTTGCCGCCGTCTTTTTTTTTTACTAAGACCACTGGCGAGGTTCAAAGACTAGGAAATTTGAACTATGCTATTCAACTAAAGGTCGTATTGATTTTGATGCAGCCTAAAGACTTTAATCACGATACTGGGAATGTCAATTCTACCAGCTAATTTCTGCCCCACAAAATTGGCTTTTACTAGTTTTCCGCTTCCTTGTTTGAGGCAGTCGGTAGTGACGCGGGATCACTATCTATTCGTTTGTGTCATGTTGCTGCACAATGACGACAACAATTGTTTTTAAGGCAATATCCTTTTTCTCCACAATAACAGCATTTTCATCATCATCATCAATGATCCTCCTTTGTCCATCAGAGGACCGTCGAGGTCGATGGTGTACATCTAAGCATGCTTTTTACATTTTTTTGTTTTCCAAAAACCTTTTCTATCTATCTTTGGCCAGTTTTATTAAATTCAGAATATCAACACCAGTCCATTCAGTAATGTCATTTATTCATTGCAAGTCTACCAACTTTTTTCTTCCAATCTCTTATCCTCATTAGTACCATCTTAATCAATCTGTCTCTTCTCATTTTACAAATGTGTCCAAAAAATCCAAATTTTCTTTTTCTGACTTTGTCATATACACTTTTCTGTTTTCCAAATTGATTTCTGATGGTTCCTTTCTTTATTTTCTGTCTCTAACTGATTTCCAACAAATTTTGATAACACTTCATCTCAATTTAGCGCACAATAATTCTGACTTTTCTGTCTTAGAACCATCCTTTGACACAAACATTTTTCACAAATTTGGCGCAGCTTTACGTCAGTCTTTGATGCATGCTTTGCTGACTCGAATGTAAGACTGTAGGCAATGGCGTCTTTAAGGTTTTGTTTGTCCGCAAGTATGAGGGTTTGTTTAAGATCTAAATTTCAAACAGCTTTTATAAACGTTTCCAATGCAGTTTTTCCTCTATGTTGTATGTCGTACGTAAAGTATGACAGCAGTCAACCGTTCAATATCTTATGACAGCTGCTCAGGTTGCTGCGTCCGGTTTTGTAACTGGGATCGATATACTTGCTTTATGTGTTTTTCACCATACCGTAAATTATGGTGAAAAACACAAAAAGCATTTAACGCATTACCAGAACTTCATAGTTGGAATGGTTCTCGACTGGGATCGTTTGAAAAATTTCTGCAGCTGACTCTTGTAACGCTACCACAAGAGCCGTTGCCCGCTCATTTTCATTCTAGCCATAATTCATTGCTGCTGCTTCAAAATGAGCTTTATAAATGTTCGACGCAATGTTTTCCATTCTTATCACATGGTTCTTTTATTTTTGCATTGATCACGGCCGATTGCTGCTCAGTTTTGACATCGAAATGTTCTCTGAGTTCTCTCAAATGTTGTTCAATTTTGGCGTCAAGTTGATCACTTATTTGTTTTATTTCTGACGATTGTTGTTCAATTTTTGCATTAATTTGGTTTCTGGTCTATTTTATTTTTGCTGATTGTAGTTCAATTTCTGCATTAATTTGATCTTTCTTCTGTTCAATTTTTGTTGATTATTGTTCAATTGTGTTGATTGTTGTTCAATTTTTTGATATCGTTTGAAGTAGTGCCATCAATTCAGTGTTTGCCCCAATGTTTACAACTGCATTTGATTCGACATCCTGATCGTCAAACTCGAATTTATCTGGATTCTTGTTTTCATTAACAAATGCTTCCATTAGGCGTGCTATCAATGATTTTCTGTTTCCACTTGTAGCAAGATTTTGTTTTTTTTACTCTTCTTTGGGTTGCACAAATTTAAGCTGATGTAGTTTTTTCATGTTGTTTTTTACAAAATAACTTGTCAACAAAAAAAAAATCAAAATTTTCAACAACGATGCTCATTTATTTTTTACCAAAAATCCCACCTCTGACACCAATGTTATAATTGTCCCGGTTTAATCCAAGTGAAAAATAAAGACAATATAACTTCCAAATTATCGATTTAATCATTTACAAAACAATAATTAATTAATCAATCAATAATCGACGTCAATTAATTTCACTAATAAATTTAATGTTCACAAGCTATCAAATAAACGTTCAGAAACTATCGCTTTCGGAAGAACAATTCACTAACGTTTATCGCAAATACTATAAAAATACAACGAAGAGTCAAATACTTTTGGAAGTAGTGAGTTTTTTTCAGGTAAGCGAGGAGCTGGCGAGAGACAATTTTTTCAATTGTTTTGTATACGAAAATAATGTTCATAATGGCTCTGTAATTGGCCACAGCGTTGTTCCTAGACCAGGTCTTTTCCACAACGTTTATTGACCAGCTTTGATAAAAATGGTAAAAGTTTATCAGCAAATTTTACCCAGAAAATGTTTGAATAGGATCGAGACAGCATGTTTTTATGAAAAAGACAAAATGATTGTCTTTAAATCTGCCTCGGAAATACTTTTAAACCAGGGGAAAAAGCAATTGGTCGACCTGAATTTTGGCGGACTTGGATTTTAGATGTGTTCAAAACTCTTGAGTTGTGATTGGTGGAGCAGTCGTACATTATGTGTTTCTGTTCACCAAGTAATGACATAAAAGTCTTCCATATTTGTTTTGGATTATCAAGCCTTGAAATTATCAGCGATTGATGATGTATTGAATTCTTGAACCCAAACAGTTTGTTTTTTTCTGCAATTGCTGTTTTTTAGGGAAAAATGTCTCATTTGTTTTTTGTACACCGATAAACACATTCTAACTTACAAATAGATCGTTTTGTTTCATAGCAATCAATGTCAAACCAGACATATGATTTTGTATGAGCTTGTTTGTCGACAATCATGTTCATCTACAATACGCCTGAGTAAACTTTTTCGTAAAAATCTCTCAATTCGTAGTTTCCCACGTCACTAGATTTGAATGTGAACAAACTCATCTATTATATGCATTTATGCAGCCAGTGTTGAGTTGTTGATTCTCTACAAACATGCGAGTTTGTTGTTGGTTTGCTACTTCTAAGAAACATTAAGAAAAAAAAATTTACTGTGGATATTTTTCTTATAAATATATGAATAAAATTTCATTTAACAAATTGGATAACATTTTACAGCTTAGATTAAATATGACAGATCTTCTTCAAAACTCCCATCATCAGACAAATTTGTTTAAAAAATGCTGGTTTTTATGTCAGATTGTAAAAAAAAATACTTTTCTCTGTATTTACTTGACAACCATGTGCAACCTGGTATAGGCATGATTAATATCATAACAATACAAAAAATGGATCATATCAGTGTGTAAAGTCGCTTAAATTTGCGCTGAACGCTGAAACACAGTGCATTACATATCTCAATGTTAAAAATATTGATGATTTTTTGTGATACTCGTGTCCCTTTTTGTAAATGTTTATTAAATTGAAAAGTATAATTTTTTCTCGAGTTTATTTCCATTTTTCAGTCATCTTCAGCACTTGTGGCAGTTTATACATGAAATTTGTATAACCAAGGCATTTGTTCCTGTGATCAGCATAATCTAAACTCTTTGCTACCAGCTGCGTGTCAAAGTACATTTCACTCCCTTGTAAATCAGAAAGATTGAACCTGAGATCACGTAAACATTACACTGAAACGTTAAGAGTCAAACTCTGCAACTATCAAAAATCGCACATCAACAATAAATTAATAAGTTGATGGATTGAATCTCAAAACAGTTTTATCAGAATAAATAACAATTTTTTTAATTTTGCTGAAATAAAACCGGCTCTTAAAGAACTAACGACAATTTAACAGGAAAACAATCATACACATTTATCCTCGCTCAAATGCCGAAGGACAATTGTTAAAGCAATTAAGAATTACATTCCAGTAATTCATGTTTCCTTTTGGTCAAAGTTTGCAGCTGGTCTACCGGAGGTTCTGTTCAAATTTGTTAGATTAATTTTTATTCAAAAGCTACCACCAAATGCTTACCTCTCAAGACGGTGTAAGTCCCCAAACGCTTTATGCCCTCCATGAAGTTTTCGCCAATTTAACAAGCATGTGCTGTCAAATTGCGGTTCTATATCGGCACTAAAAAGATACACATTGCGACACAATAATATACTTTCAATCATTCTGGAGAAAGTTAAATCGTGTGCTCCAGATAGTGTGACGATTTACGCTGATGTTGATTGTGATCGCTATCAACCGGTGTCAGTTTTTCTTCGAAGCGACACCATTGAGACATTAAAATTAACGAATTCAGAAAATACAGGATATCTAAATATTTACAAAACTTACGCAACAATTTAAAAATCGACTTGAAGCATTTAAAAGTTTTATTTAGTATGTTCAAAATTTTGCCTTTGGGCTTTTTTAAACATTTTAAACTTTTATTAATTGGTTTTATTTGGTCTGATAATTTTGCCATAGTCATATGCAATCCACTGTGAAAAACTCAAATAGTATTTAATTTTTCGCTGTTTTTTATCCTTGCGCCCACTCTAAAAAAAATGGCAAGCATTGTAGACTACCAAACATAATATTATTAAGATTCTTGATGGATAAACACGACTGCTTCAATGCAAACTTATTTAAAAGTTTATTCGAATGATAACAGTAAAGGAAACACTAAATAATTCAATAATTCAAAGAATACGCACGATCGCCAATAATACTAAAGCACAGCATCATACGCACGCTAATAGCAAGACAGAGTTCCAGGTCAGCTATGTGGACAAAACTAAATTAAATTTAGTCAGCTCCTTTGACGGGCCTGGATCAAACTCATTTGTAAATGGCACAGCAGATGACAAAGACGGTGAAACGGGTTTTTACCACGGTGCCATCTCGTCAACAAGATAATAAAAAACAATTCATTCCCAAACTTCCTAGGATGAACAAAACGGTCGGCAAACTTAATCAGTCTGAATTGGCAAACTAAAAGGTACTGAATTGTCCGCCGTTGTGTACCTTGGGAGAATAGTTAATGCAGTAGCCAGATGGTCGAGGAACATTTAAAAAGTTTCAATGTGGATTTTATTTCGGTAAATCCAACGGAAATTAAAAAAAAATTTAAGATTTGGAAAGCACTTCGTTCAGAATCTTCATACTAAAAAGTGATAAATCAAAAATATTTATTTCAGATATTTGGCCCCGTTATGCTGTGGTGAGATATTGGATTTTCAGCACAAGGGACAAGATGAGGGTAGAACATGATGAATATTGAAGTTTTGAACAGCAATGGCTAAGTTAACAATAGATGAGTTGGATCAACTGGCTGAAGTTAATTCTTGTTAATGCTATGATTTTAACTTGTTTGGGTCAATGTTTGCTCGATTTCCCAACGGAAAATTTAAAATTTTGTTTTTCAAGTTTGTATGTCAATTCTAGAAGCACATTTAAAAAGATGACTGATTTGGAATTGTTTTTGAAAATGTATCCTTTCGCTTTCTCAGCTGTTGTTATCACAGAGACCTGGTTGAGCAATCTGACTGCTCCTTTGATACATTTACCAAATTACAATTTTGTTCTTAAAAATCGCCAACTAAGAAAAGGAAGTAGCGTTAGAATTTTTTGCAGGATTTTATTCAGTATAAATGATTTTATTCATAGATAGAATCAGTACTGATTTTTTAGAATCAGTATCTATTGATGTTAGTTTGAATAACAAAAAGTATTTAAAATTAATTGCCATCTACCGTCTTCCAACTAGAAATATCAATAAATTATTCCACGATCTTGAAAATCTGTTAAATAATGCTGGTGTTTCGGCTTATATGGTTGGTGATTTTAATGTAAATTTGGACTCATCGGATAATAATCGGGTACATTTTGAAAATCTGATTTTTCACCATAAATTTTCACCAATGATTAATCTGGCAACTCGTGTTTCAAAAAATTCTTCAACTATAACTGACAATATCTAAAAAAATAATTGTCATCTTCATCAGATCAGATTTTTCAAATCACTTCCCAATCTTTAGCATAATTAAAGATAAAAAAAGATGTTTTTTTTTTAAAAAGCGGCCAATTGTTAACATATTGTCAACACTAAACAATATAATATACTTTGCCCTGGTAACTTCGGATGCTCTGTTGATGGTGAATGGTGTAAATTATTGTTGCAAACTTTTTTTACAACATATTAAAAGATATTGTTAGCAGACACACCAATAAATCAAAAAACCTTTCTTCTAAATTTAAGAAACCCTGGTTCAAAAGTGCACTCATGCAGCAGATGAGACTTAAAAATAAACTATATGTCAAGTTGATCAAATCTCCATCACCTGCAAATTTAATAAAATAAGAAAGTAACTCCAAACGCTTAACTGAGGGTCAGTATTATGAAAATAAATTTACTCAAATCAACTCAGATGTTAAAGTTAGATGGCGCTTGATAAATCAAATTTTAAATATCAAAAAATCATCTAATCACGTTGAGTCGTTAAAAATTAATGGTTGTAAAGTCACTAAAGCTGTAGAAATATGCAATGCGTTGAATAAAAATTTTGTTGACAGAATAAATGTCCTGCAGCAGGATCTTGATCAGGGTGCTGATGCTTTTCATCGAATTTTCTCGAGATCAAACGACAATTCCATCTTTCTCGATCAGGTCAGCCATTCAGAAATATATTCAATTGTGAATAATTTTAAAGCCAAAAAAATCTACATCCAGTTACAATTTCAACCTGTTTAGAGTCAAACTTAATTAATGAACTATTAATACCGGTGATTCACATTTGCAACATGTCATTAAAATCCGGAATATTTCCTAATGTTTTCAAGTTATCAAAAATTATACCAATTTATAAGAAAGGCGACAAAAAATGCAGATAATTATCGCTCGATCTCTTTGTTGTTTCCATTCTTGAAGATATTAGAAAAGGCGATGACAATCAAGATGACTTCATTTTTGTGTTGCCACTATTAATTATCTAGCAGTAAATACTGATTCAGAAATCTGCATTCGACCGAACTGGCTATTGCTGAATAGGTACATGAAGTAATCGATAACATGAAAAATTCACGACTAACTCTGGGTATCTTCTTAGACTTGATAAAGGCTTTCGATCTAATAAATCACGATTTGCTTTAAAAAAATTGAATTGGCATTCGTGGATAAAATAATTTTTGGGTTTAATGATTTTAACTATTAAACAATTATATGCATTCTTTGCAACCGTTTTTATCTTTAAATATATTAATAGTTTATTGCCACCTTATTTTGCAAACTGTATAAATATTAAAGCAAATGTTGATGTAAAAATTTCACGTCCGCAAAGTTTCTTTTTTTATTTCCTTCAAAATTCAAACATTTTCATATGAGTTTGTTTTACGTTAGACCTAAACTGGGAGATGATTTTACACCTGCTTGTGTTAAATGCAACAGTAACTTGATTATATTTTTAAAAAATCTAAAAAAAATTCATAGTTTTATTTGATCCGCCTTAATTAGTTTATTATAGGTGTTTTTTTTATTTTGGTTACACACATACATACATTCATTCATACATACATTCATTTATACATACATACATAAATACATACATACATACATACTTACATACATGCATACATACATACATAGTGTCCGCCCCGGGGGACCGTACGCACGTCCAAATTTTGAACGAAGAATATAAAAAAATCTTTCAAAATTTGTTGTCTTCATGCGGCGACGAATTTTCCACCGCTCGTTTGTTGGCCATGTCCAGCGTTGCCAGCTGTGGGTGGTTGAGATCGTGGCCCAACACCTCTGTAGGCACCAGGCTTGACGACGAGTCTGTGAGATTTGCCATTGGCTTCAGACTTGGCCTGGTCATTCAAAATAAATACACGTGCCAATGTGGCGCTGGGGCGGACAAGTTTGGGCACCACGGTTTGGTTTGTCGCCTGGGTGAGGGCCGTCAACCACGTTACTCAGCATTAAACAAATACATTTGTCGGCTCTTCTCCAAGGCTTCAATCCCGGTTCTCAAGGAACCATCCGGAATTTCTGCGCATTATGGTAGGCGCCCGGAGGGATGCACACTAATACCTTGGAGAGCCGGTAGATGTTTGGCGTGGGATGTTACGGTCCCTGGCACCCTTGCCGAACGATATGTAAACCTGACAAAAAAAGAATGCGGTTTGGCCGCGGCCAGGGCAGCGGACGAGAAAATGAAAAAATATGGGAACGCCCTCCCCTCGATGGAATTCTTGCCAGTATGTATCGAGGTTCTTGGCCCGATGGACCCCAACACCCTTAAATTTCTTAAGGCAATATGTAAAATGATCAGCGTCAGATCAGGCGACAGCATGGAACTGTTTTTCGCAACTAACCACATTTCGTGCTTGTTGCAGCAGTTCCTGCGTGTCTGTGTGCTTGAAAATATCCAACTGAATGCCGACATGTGCTATTAACGACAAATCAAAGTGTTAATCCATTTGTTACTTGATGTTTGACGGTTCAATGTCACTCATCATGTTTTGGTTTTAACATACATACATACATACATACATACATACATACATACATACATACATACATACATACATACATACATACATACATACATACATACATACATACATACATACATACATACATACATGCATGCATGCATGCATGCATGCATGCATGCATGCATGCATACATACATACATACATACATGCATGCATACATACATACATACATACATACAATGTTGAGTTGACAGACAGGGGCTGGTCTCAGGCCCAGTTGCCGGTTCGGTTTGGGGGACTGGGGTTGTTAAGCGTAGTCCAGCTGGCACCTATTGTTTACAAATCATCTGCCGCTGCCACGCTCGACCTGCAGTCTGCCCTGCTCCGGCAATCTTTCACGAATCTTGGTACCCTACCAGCATCACCCAACCGAGCAAAACATTTTCAAGCTCGGTTGCTGGAAGAGGCATACAAAACAACTTTTCAGTTTTTGTTGTCCTCTAGTCCCGACGATGCAACTTCGGCTCGTCTGCTGGCCGCGTCAAGCGACGCGAGCTGCGGTTGGTTGAGATCCTGGCCCAACTCATCGGTGGGTACCCGACTGGATGATGAGACGGTCAGGATGGCCATTGGTTTTTCGTCTGGGTTTAACGGTCCACCATAAATATCTGTGTAGGTGCGGTGCGGAAGCTAACGAACTCGGTCACCACGGCCTGGTCTGTCGTTTAGGTGGAGGTCGTCAGTTGCGCCATTCCGCATTAAATGATTACATCTGCCGGCTTTTCTCCAAGGCGTCAATACCCGTTCTTAAAGAGCCCTCGGGAATTTCCGCGTTGGATGGAAAACGTCCGGATGGCTGCACGTTGATTCCTTGGAGAGCCGGTAGATGCCTGGCGTGGGACGTAACCGTTCCGGGCACATTAGCGGAACGGTACGTGCACTTAACCAGCAAAGAAAGTGGTTTGGCCGCAACCAGGGCATCGGATGAAAAGTTTAAAAAATATGAAGGTGCCCTGCCCTCGATGGATTTTTTACCTGTTTGCATCGAGGTTCTTGGCCCGATGGACAACAACACTTCAATATTTTTTAAAAAGATTTGCAAAATGATAAGTGGCAGGTCTGGCGACAGCAGAGAGCTATTTTTCGCCATGAATCATATATCTTGTTTGCTGCAAAGGTTTTTGCGCGTCTGTGTTACCGAAAATGTTCAATTAAACGCCGACGTGAGCGAATAACGAGATATCAATTGTTAACCGATTTTTTCAGATGTTTGACTGTTTAGTGTCACTCATCGCTGATTTGGTTTTAACATACATACATGCATGCATACATACATACATACATAATACATACATACATACATACATACATACATACATACATACATGCATACATACATACATACATACATACATACATACATACATACATACATCCATACATACATACATACATACATACATACATACATACATACATACATACATACATACATACATACATACATACATACATACATACATGCATGCATATATACATACATACATACATACATATTTTTTTCTTTTGTGCTTGCAGTGCTTATAATAATTTTTCAGACACCAAAAGCGTCTGTTTAATAACAACGGGTCTCCATGGTTACATAAAACTACCGAATGAAAAGGTTGTTATTAATTCAAAATTTCATTTTAATTAATTCAGTTTAATTGTTCGATGATTTTTAAATACTACATTTAATAGCTGTTTGTGAAATATTATTTTATAGTTGTTTCATACTCAAATGTTTTAACTAAAATTAACCCTACCTAATGATAAAAAATTTTATCTTTTGACAGGTATTTAAGAACGCTTAACATCTTGAATTACAAAATTACCAACCCTTTAAAAAATCCTAATTATATTAAAGATGTAAATGCATCTGTCCTTTTCCAACACTCGTATATCAAATTATTGTTATATAAAATATAAATTTATTGTTGCATCAATTAAATTGAACTAAGCAATAAAAGTATATTTCCAAACCGTTCTATTAATTACTGTCGTCATTGTTTCTACTTTGATGATTTCCATTTGGGTACCAACTTTTCATTCAAACATCACCAAACTTTTGACACTGACCAATTTAGTAACTAAGAACAGCCAGTGTCCCAGTGGAGGCTTGTTCTGTGAAAAGTTCGACAATGATGACATCGGTATTCGGCTATTAAAATTTAATCGGTTTGTCATTTATTATATTATTTTGTAAACAATTGATTGACAATATTTAAAAGTAAATACTTTGAAACTTTTGCATAGTTGTTCATAATTAATAAATGTTTATGAATTATTTAAATTATATGGTTAAACTGAGGCATTAATTTTTGTTTTATCAGGTTATTTTATAACTTATTTTATCGTAGTTTTCAAATCGTTTTACATAGCTTTCAATTGATTTATATTAATATTAATTAGCAACTGATTTATTTTTATGGCTCCCATTTACTTTCTGCCAAAAAAGGACATTTTTCACAAAAAATCTAAATTCAGTTTATTGACAAACGTTTACTGAAATCAACAAGCATACTTATTGCTTGATTGAGTTTGTTTAAGTAAGTCATCGTTTTTCAAAAAATAATTGTACATTTCAGAGCATGTTAACAAATAATTAAACTTGACCTTTACTAAACTTTCAACAGTTTAAATTTTTAGACAATTTCAGTCCATTGCTTTTTGCACGATGAAAAAATTTGCTCGGCAGCAGCATTTGACGTTGGATGGTAAAGATTGTGTACACCAATTTTTAAAATCCAGGAACGATTCATTTTGAAACAAAAAAGCTCATTTTTTATCTACCGGTAATTCGTATAAACTTTCTTTTGAATCTTTCAGCATTGCAATTAAAAGTCTAATATCATCAATTAAGTATCTTTCACAAAAATTTCTGGCATTAAAACTACAGATTTTCAAATATTTTCAAATGATATTGTTTCAACAGATTTCAGCAATAGCCACTTAGTAGAAGACGGATAATCGGTAATTCTGAACTTCTTTTGAATGTTGAATAAAATGTTAAAAAGTCTTATCTATGCGATGAGCGAAATTAGAATTTTCAATTAATTGAAACCAATGGCACCAAAAAATTTCTTCTGCACCCTCTCAGTGAGCTTTTGTGACAGATTATCAACAGATTCTATCATTTCAGAGTTCACGAAGTCTTTTTTCAAGTATACAGCTGCAATGAACTCTGTAAAAAACAAAAGTATATTTTATTTGAATCATCAGAGAACAAATTCTCCAGAACCTTTGGAATGTCATCCGTCAACAAAACTAGTGATTTTAAGCCACTCCATAACTATATAGTTGGTTCGATCAAGGCTTAACCATCGTGTGCGAAAATGAGTTGGAAATTTGGCATATTGAATTTCCATGAATTTGCAAAATTCTTTAAGTTTTTCATGTCATAGCCTGGATCCATTGAAATAACTCAAAATTTTAATGTCAAGTGAAAACCTTTCCCAGGATTTTTTGGCTACGTTATGGAAAATGTGAGCTGGGCAGGCTACAGCAATCAATTTTGATCGAATGTTTTTTAATTTGGCAAAAACGTTGTTTTAACCCACCCCCTGTTTTGCTCCACCAAAGTTTACATTTGTGTTGTCAGCACTGATTGCTCTCAAATTATTAGAACTCAACTTGAATCTGTCAAATACATTTATTAGATAGTTGAAAATCATTTCTGACGTTTCTCTAGGCAAATTTAAAAATTCTAACAATTTAACTTTCAATCCTTCATGCGAGAAATACTGAATAATGACAGAAAATTTTTGATTTCTTTAAAATTTGACGATTCGGTTGCAATAGAAAACGGTTCGCTGCCTAATTCCGACAAAAGATTCTCAATTGATTTCGGAGCCAATACACTTGAATGATCGCCTGTGTTTTTGTTTAAACAGACAAAATTTTCGACCAGTTTCCGATTCGGCAAAAACAGTTGAAATCAAATTGATTTGTACAATCTGCAGCTTTAAACGATAATGAGTGAACAGCAGTATGATATGCAAATGCTCTTTCTGCTGCAGCAATTTTTTTAGATGCAGGCAAATTATTAGTGTGAAAAAACGTTGATATTTTTTTATTTTTTTTGATATTTTATTATTTACTTTTTATTTTTCACATTTTTTTTGTGAGCTTCTTTTTCAAAATATTGTTTAAAAGATGAAACGCCTGCGTTCGCAATGTTAACATCAGTTGAACAATATTCACAAAATGCTAATTTTTTATTTGTTTTATCGTTCATTTTTGCTATTTGATTTATCAGGTCAACAAAATATTGCGAAAATTTAGTAGACAGCTGGGCAATATTCAACATGTCTAAGGCCTTTTATGATTTACTGCCAGATTTCCAAGTCGGGTCAGTTTTGTTAAATTTTGGTCAAGTTTAACAAAGTTTTATTTAATGTTTTTTTATTATAAACAATAAAAATTGGATGTATTTTTTACAAGTTGAAGCTTTTCAAATACTTTGTTCAAACATTCAAAGTAGTGTTGCTTGTTAATGTACATAAACCCAGTATATAGACAGACGTGGTGTGAGGGTGGCAGCAATCAAGTAAGGGGTTGTCTGTTGAAGCTATGCCATCAGTGGAGAAAGCGAAAGTTAAAGTAGCCTTACTACAATGGGCGTTACGCGTGATGGACTGGCTCAACAGGAACCCTGAAACGATTTTCTACATATGATGGGTGGAAAAACATTTGTCAACGGCTGTCTATTGTGATAGGGTAGCTTTATACTACCTGATGCAAAATTGAAAAATTGGGACCTACAATCCTAATTCCCATATTACATCATAAACATTAAATCACGCCAAACTTTATACCGACTCTGACTTCGCCCAAGTGAACAAGATTCGCGTCTTCTGTTAATAAAGGACAAGGTCGAAAAACTAGCTACTGGGCAAGAAAAAATCAAACTAGGGCATATGATAAAATTTGAAACATGGAAGTTTAAAGGTCTCGTGACCGAGTGGTTAGCGTGTCCGTCTACCACTCCCACGACCCGGGTAGCTGACCCCCGGTCAACCCAGCTGTTCATCCTTTCGAGGCTGGTAAATAGGTATACGACGTAAGTTGTCGCATGTTGGCCGGCGTGATGGCTCAGTGGTTCAAATGCTCGCTAAGTCAAACATCTCAATGGCTATAAAATACTCAGCGTATATGATGCGGTGTTTGCGCGTGCACATAAAATACATGTGTACGTCGTGTGAAAAGGATAAACAGCCTTTGTGACGAAGATGGCTGCTTCAAATTAATGGATTAAGATATGAAGAACATAGTAAAAGATATATAGATAATATATCTGCAACATTGTAAGTGGTGCTGCGTATGTCAGAGCTGCGATAATAAAGACTAAAAAAAGTTACAACTTAAGAAGATGCGAATGATGGAAACAAACAGAAATGGAAAATTAACGGATGGATGTGTGTAGATTATCAGAGGTCAGATAAAAAGGTCAGGGTCACTTTAAAACGACCAATAGACATATAGTTGTATATTCAGAATAGAGTGAACAAAGAAAGTATGAAGTTGGGATGTGGCTGCATAGAAATATGGCTAAATCAATGAATGGATATGATCCAACCAATGAAAGAATAATAACTGTGAAGATAGCAGCTATTCTAAGAAACATTACAATAGTGCAGATATACGCATTAACTACACAACAACAGAAAAAGAAGTACAAAAATTTTACGCATAGCTGAAGGGGTTGATTGAAACTATTTCAAAAAAGAGCTATGGTTGATCATGGTAGACTTCAACGCAAAGGTTGGTAACAAAAAGAGAGCGTTGTAAAAGGACCGTTAGAAATTGGAGAAGCTAATGATGCATATGACAGACTGCTAGAAGTTTGAGCATATCATAACCTAGAACTGATAAATACCTGGTTTCAGCAACATGCCAAAAAACTGTACATAGGAATATCACCAGATGGCAAAACAAAGAATCAGATAGATTACTTTGCAATACCATACAGATGGAAAACATTTGTGAAAAATTGTAAAACATATACAGGTGCAGACTGTGATACAGACCATAACCTGCTTGTAGCTACTCTCAAATTTAAAGTCAAGAAAAAAGCAAAAACGCAACCGGTAGAACAACTTAGATTAGAGGACTTCAGAGATTACAACGCAACTATGTACAAAATAACGGTCAAAAACAGGTTTGAAGAATTATAGTTAATTGAAAACGAAAACACTCCGGAGACATTGTGGCACAATAAAAAAAAATCTGATATAGACTGAAGCAGAAATAGCAAGCTATGATAAACCAGAAAAAAATGGATGGATATAACACCCTTGAAACAATGGCGAAAAAAAGAAAAACAAAGCAGAATTACCCAAAACAATACAAATAGTTAAAAGCTGAAATAAAAAGAAAATTACGGAACGACAAACACGAACAAATAACAAATAGAGAATATATGTAAAGAAGTAGAAGTTGCCAACAGCAAAGGAAACATCAAGAAAATGTATGTACAGCACTGTCCCTAACACGTAGGTTTCAACCTTATTTTCAGTGTTTAAAAGCGAAATCAGGTAAAAACTTAGCAGAAGAAACACAAGTAGCAGAAAGGTTGAGAGAATACTGCAAAGAGCTGTACTCAGATAAAACAAGAACTAAGATTAATGAAAAGTTTGTAGACCATCCAGTTTATAAAAAGCCTTCACCACTGAAGTCTGAAGTTGCTTGGACAATAAAATAACTGGCATGACGTAAAGCAGCTGATTTAAAACGATGTGTCTGCAGAATTGTTCAAAGCTGGAGATAAAACGGTATTTAATAAGATACACAAGATATGTACAGAGGTTTGAAGCACGAGATTGTTGCCAGTGGATTGGACACATCCGTTGTTTCCATCAATTCCAAAAAGGGTGATTTGAAACAATGTGGTAACTACAAAGCAATCGCCCTTGTATCACATGCAAATAAAATTTTACGGAAAATTATTTGAGAAAGAATAAGAATGAAAAAAAAAATAGAGGTTGTTGAAGAACAGACAGGCTTTAGAACTGGAAAAGGAACAAGGGATTAGATAGTAAATTTAAAAATAATAATTTTGCAAAACCCAGAGAACAATGTGTTTTGTCGATTTTCGTAAAGCGTTTTACTCTTTGTCACATGATAGACTATGGTTGGTAATGCTAAAAATAGGTTACCCGTTTCAAATAGTACAATTGTTACTCAACTTATTCAAGAAGCAAATTGTTGAAGTAAAAGTAGTAGATGTAACTGCAAAATGGTTCCCGGTCAGGATGGGTGTAAAATAAGAATGTGTATTATTTCCTTACCTGTTTAATATCTTGGTAAAAATGGCATTGAGAGAAGATCAGGAAGGTTTTCGAAGAAGTAATAAACATAGAAAGACGAAGGATAACAAATTTAAGGTATTCAGAAGACATGATAGTTTGGCTACCACTGAAGAGGAATTACAGAAATCAGTCAACAGGGTAAAAACAGCCAGCACCAACTAAAGCTAATAATTACTGAAGATGAAAAAAATGTGATGCACATATATAGACATCGCTAGTTTAATACAGTTCAAAAAATTATTTATCTCTTACTTACATAGATTACAAAAAGGTATAATTTGTTGAAATGCAAAAAATAATTATCATAGTTAACATAAATATTTAGATTTAAGGAATAGGAGTAATGCTATGTCTTTAAGAACTTAGTTTATAACAATAATAAACTATTTATTGATTATCTATTTTGGTTAAATAATCCTCCTCATCGCCATAATCATCATCATTGTTTTCTTTATCATTTTGTCATCAGCGTCACATTATGCAATTTCTCATTCATCTTCACTCGCTAATTAACGTAATAATGAAATTGATTGACTCTGTCACCTAGTGCTGAACAATAAGAAAACAAGTGCTGTGCGTGCCTGGATACTCCGCTGACATCTCACGTCAGTAATAAATGTGTGTATGCATACCATTATATGCAGACATACCTTTTTTCGAGATCGTGCAAAATATATCTCTACATACTTATCTCACCTACAGAAAAAATAACAAAAGAAACAATCTCATTTAAGAATGAAAAAAATAAATAAATCACGAAAAAGTAAAAATGATAATAAACTAAAATTTAATTTTTTTTAATTTGTTAAAATTACGCGCAGATGTCTTTTGACTAATATGACGTGACAGCTTTTTAATTGACATTTCGATAAAAACAATAAAGGTAAAAGCTTTTTAATAAAAGGATATAATGAATATTTATTATTTTTTATTTATTATTTCATATAAAATTTATTTCTTTATTTATTCATTCATTCATTCGTTCGTTTATTCATTCATTTGTACATTCATTCATTTGTACATTCATTCATTTGTACATTCATTCATTTGTACATTCATTTATTCATTCATTCATTTATTTACCTGCGACAAGCCATAATTAGACTTGTTTGGTGTAAATTGACATAAAAAATGTTTGTTAATTGTTTGTGGTTACATTTCTAATACTTTTATTATACTCACAATTTAGCTTTTTAGCTTCTTTGTCTTAACCTTTCTTTGTTTTGATTTTATTTTTGATTTTATTTTATTCATTTGAAAATGTTACACATATTTTTTTAATACGTTTATTTTTTCTACTGTTCCATTCCGACATTCAATTAATTGCTCATTCATTCATCTATTTATTCAACTATTCGTTTATCCCATTCATTCATCATTCATTCGCTTTTGTTTTTCTTAAATGTTAATTAAATATTCTGTTTTTTATATACATACAAGTTTTGATTTGTGCGTTTTATTATATATTAATAACAGTAATAATAACAATATGATTTAATTTTATTATTTGAATGAAGTTGTTAGCAATTACTCATTAATGGACACATACACATCTGCTAAAACACAAAATTGACACAAAACCACACACAAACATGTGAACTGCGCGTATACAAAACACATCACAGTTATAAAACTGCAACAGTGGGTGTTTCCAGTATTGAAGGCTTTAGTGGACAAGTTACTGAGCAAAAGCAATTTCTGCACTATTTAGCTGCTTCTCCTCTTGTCAAAACAGTTTGTGAGACCGGATTCAACGTTGGACATTCAAGTTTCAATTTCTTAACTGCCAATTTAAATTTGATGATGTATTCATTTGATCTGGGAAGCCATGTCTACCTGGCAGAATGGCCAAACTACTGCCTGATATCTTGAACAAAAAGAGTTTGAATGGATCTAGGTTGACAGTCAGGTGCGTAATGATTTTAGATTTAATGAATGATTTGCAATTTTGCAATTGTTTTAATGTGAGTGAATAATTTCTCAAATGTATAATATTTTTGAAGCTAAAATTTTATTTTATGCATTCGTTGCGATAAAAATCCCCGTGATCAACGAGGTTATGAAGATGCGTAAAGTGAAAAAGGGTGAATTTATATAGACTACCGAAAATGCCAGGAGTATGAAAACTGGGGAGAAAAAATATGGCCAAAATATGTTGATACAGAATTGAATGTGGATTGTATTCAAATTTTATATAATAATAATTATTATGATTATTACTATTATAATATATTGCCGATTCACATCGCTGCTTCAGAGGCGTCCGGAGCATGCGTGCAAGATAAGTATTTAGTTTTTTTCATATGATGGAAGCAACGATAGCAAGATGGGATTGGGCTATTGGAATTTCTAGGAAGCCTGTTGTATCTGCGGGTTGATCTGGCATGTTCGTGGCGGGATATGAGATCATTCAGATATGTTGGAGATTTAGATAATAATATTTTGAAGGTTAGAATTGCAATTTTGGAGATGATTTTTGCAGAGACAGAAAACCAATAAAGCACTGGAAAGAGATTGGAGATAGTAGAGCAAAGAGGCTTGTTGAGGGTCAGTCTAGCAGTTTCATTTTGAATAGTATATATAATATAAAATAAACAAAATATAGTGTTTTATAAATTTGTTAAATTTGTTACTGTATTTAAACTTTTAGAGAAACCAATGGGAAACATGTGAAGTAAGTTTAGAGATAAATGAATTTAGTATTGAAAGATACAGTTTGCATGTGATGAATTTTTTAAAAGCCAAACTGAAGAAAATATTTTGCTATGTTGAGCCTAATTATAAAATAATTAAGTTAAAGAATTGTTTTGATGACTTTACGTGAAATTTTTATGACATACTGATGATATTGTATTACTTGCACTGTTTAGGAGCGCCAGGTCATCTGGGAAGCAAAATTGCTAGGCTGTTAAACGTAATAAAAAAGTTCGGAGCTCAAAATATAAAACATAAATTAAAATTAGGAAACGGAGATGATAGCAGTAAATTTTTTACAATCAAAATTGTTAACAGTGGGAACGAACGATTGTTTTCTAATCAACAAAATTCAGATATGCACAAAAGCAAAATATAGTCAGACTTTCTTATAACAAACTTCTATATAACGAAAATCTCTATATAGCAAATATTTTATGTTCCTGCAATACTGTTTTACTATTATGCTTTTTGATATAATCATATAATTTTATGTTTCTTTTTATTTTTTTTGCAATTATACCACATCTTATTATTCCAATTATAAAAATAAATGATTTAGAGATTGATTTTTATAAATATACAGCATATAAACATCTTTTAAACAATATATATTAATAGTTTTTTCCCGAACAAAATCTACATAACGAAATTTCTATATAGCAAACTTATTTACTGAAACCATCAAGTTTGTTTTACGGAGGTCGAAGATAATATTAATATCATTATTATTATAAACGAGTCTAATAGAGGGACGCTGCCAAGTCCACTAGATATCTTCACTTTGTACAATTGGCCCATGTCTCTAGGCTAAATATGCTCTAATATGGATAAGCGATAGGTCCTGCTCTACTGAATGCATAGATATGATGCATCAGATATGCCTTGGTGGCCACGAGGTCGAGTCTAACCAACAGCAGCAGGTCAATCCTAGGCAGCTTTAATAACTCTATGTGGTCTTTTGGCCAAACAGAGTAAGAAGACGTCTAATTATGAGCCCGAAGACTGGTGGCTGTTGTGTTCTTTTTCTAACCTTGTTTTTTGTTAAAACAAACAAAGGATTCTGCGCAAACATCATTAATCTGTAGCGTCCACTGGCAGATCCAAGAAGGAAAGTACTGTTTTTGACGAAAAATTGACATTATAAGCAATAAAAGAAAAACAACAACATGCAAACATTTTTTAAATTTTCTTTCCCCGGTCAACGTTGAAACATTTTAAAAATTTTGGCTTCCTCTCATCAAAGTTGTTCAGATCCGCCACTGCTTGCATTCAGTTTCTTCAAAGAGATGCTGGTTGTTGACCGTGTCTCACGTTCAAACAGCGACATGTTAATGATGTAAACGTTGTAGAGATTGATTTAGTTGTCAGTAAGATACTTGAGTGTCATATGAACGAGTGTTGACTATTCGACGAAAAATCTCAGCATCACATATATTTTTGAAGCTAAGGTAAGTGAACAAATTAACAATTTGTATGTTGTTATTTGTAACTGAAACAGTTTCTAACGAAAAATCACCCGCAGAGATGTCTCAAATCTTAGTTTAATCTCAATATATATATAATCCAAAAAATGAATTGCCAGCGACCGTACAAAAATCGTCCACATTTCTGTCAACAGAGCAAATCATTGGGATAGTCAAGGTATGTAAAAACTTTTTTGTTGATTGTGACAGGGAGCATTTTTTTCTCTTCAAAATCTAATCCATCGGAGTCCTAAATTTATTTTACACCATTACCATCCCGAACATTTTGAGAAAATTTTCTTTGTGACATAATGCAGCTAATAATAAGTCCACAAGGTGGTCAAAAATTGACAAAGCCAAAAGCTGTCCTGAGGTCAACGTAGGCGGTCAAAAGCGGTTTTCTTCTTTTCTGAAAAGGGGATGACTATGTTAGGATCTTATCAATGGTGCATCTGTCTGGTGTAAAGCCAAACTGCTTCTTGCGGCGTCGGGACAAATGCGTTTGAGTAGGACACAAGCGAACATTTTTTGGGGGGACTAACAAGAGTGTGACGCCTTGGTAATATTTGCATTGCTTTTGTAGAACGGGATAATAATGATTTTTTCCAATTCTCAGAAACCACACCAGAGACGACTTCAACCAAAAAATGTAGTTTAACACTAAGTTTAGAGTTCGCAGTGGCTAATTTTAGCAAATTTCAGCAATTTTTTTAAAAGTGTTAGAAACTGGTGGTGAACCAAAGCATTAAAAAAAAATCACAAAGTAAATATTTTGTATTCAGACTTCAAAATCGCTTTAACATTAAGTATTTTATATATGTGTTTAATGTGTGTTTAATAAAAAATTTTCTATCAAAATTGTTAATTAATTTTGTTTGAAATTGTTTAGATTTGGTGACTCAACAGTAGAAGTACCAAAATCAATATCTGAAGGTAAACTTCCCTTCTGTGATCTGATCTTCGTTGACGGAGGACACAATTATCCCGTTGCCAAGTTTGTCTATTGACATCAAACGCGTGTTATATACGTGCATGTAGTCTTTTTGTAAATATTAAAATTTATAACATAAACTAATAATCGCTTTTTAATTAGACTCATGAGATGGGCTTTACAAATTTAGAAATACAATTTAGCTGCGGTTTATTTTGCCAAATTTAGTGCAAGTGTGAAGGCAATAACTTAAATTAAAGGCAAATATAATTAACTATAATTAAATAATGAATGTAGCAAACAATGTACAGAGCTGACATACTGAACCTATGAACCTAACTAAACATTCCATGATTATCCTACAAATTGAGGTGCGGAATTCGGAAAGGCATGGGATGAACTATTCGTATCCAAAAAAAAAGCTGATGAGGTGGAGTTTACAATTATTTCATTAACCATAAATCAAAATCAATAAATTATTTCAACTAATTTTATCTTTATTTAAGATCAGTTTACATTTTCTAAGTTTCTAGCTATCAGTCGCAACTTTTGATTATTTTTTTAAAATTGTTTAGTCAAAAAGGTAATCAATTAATTGTTTTGTACATAAAATAACAATTAGCCGTTGTTTTATAATTGTCTAATTAGTAGATCATTGTTTGAATAGACTAGTGTGTTTAACATTTTAGAATTCTTTTAATACAAATTTTATTTAAAATGTTCTTAACGATAATATTCATTTGTATGAAGATCATGAAAAACTCAAAACTCGAAACAAGTGGCGCCTCGATTAAGACAAGGAAGGTTTCCATTGTTGAAGTGTTCCGATGCACGCAGAAGAATTTTCAATTTGGTTTGGAAAGAGGATTTACTGTTGGCAGAGTTATACTTTGGTAACAGAAACGGAGTTTGAAAAATAAATTGAAACATTTTTATTGACAACCGCTCTCAAGTAAACGCAAAGTTCACTCTCTTAAATGTTCGTAAAAATATCATTTACAATAAATTTTATAAATAGGTACTTGCCGTAAGGCAACAATGTAATATTAATTAAAAAAGAACCCTTGGTTAAATTTGGCCCTTTTTTTAATTGTTTTCAAAATAAACGGTTAAAAAAGTAAGTAAGTAATTAAGCAATTTATACCTTAAAGGTTTAGTATAAAAAAAAAACCTAACCAGAAATTGACTCAATTGAAGATTTTAAATGAAGAGATGCTACTTTTTGATTTAACTCAATTATTGTTACAGTAATGCTTCAATCATACATTTAAATTTCATATATACATTAAAATACATATTAACATTTTTTTATTGAATAGTACTTTTGTGTGAAGGCTAAACCATTACACATTTATTAAAAAACATAAAAAGAAATTATCATATTTATAAAAAAAATTATGTTTGAGGTGTTACAGTTTTTAATCCGCTTTAACCATGTTTAAGATATATAGATTTATAAAGATACATTTTGTATTTCATGAGTTTATGGAATTGAAAATTATTATTTTAAATCACTCCATTACAAAACAATTTAAGTTTAAGTCTTTATCACACACAAGATAAATAATAATTTGTCGTCACAATGTTGCAAAAATTAATAAATAGGTAAAAGTATAAGGTATGCTATTAGGTATTAGGTATATGTCTATTTGTTCTGGCCAAATGTTAGGCCAAAACTTAGGGCTCGGCTTCGGCCATTTCAAAAGACTGAATTGTCAAATATTGCCATTTTCGTTTAGGCCATCTTTTTTATATGTCTAGAATAATAACTGCTAGTTATTATTATTACTATTATTATTAGCAAAAATTTGTTAGGGTCATGTTAAAACATTTAAAACTTTACACAAAAAACAAGTTGAGTTGAATAGTAACATTGTTGTTGAACACGACCGAACTAGGGACAAAATTAAATGGCATCATCAGAAAAATTAATTAAACTGTTGAGGATAAAATCCAAGAACTGGTTGATGAATATGATCCAGGCTATTCCGGACATAACAATATATAATACTAAATTTATGTCCACGTCATATGAAACGGACAAATTACAACTTAGAATTAACTAAGTCAATAACAGAACTTCTGTTCTTATTCTTAAAATAATTGCAATAAGAAACAAGAGTAAATAATGAAAAGTGGTCACTTGATATATTCCTTTCAAATATCCTATCAGTAAGTGTAAAAACCGAATTACAGAATATATATGACGTACTGCTACTACATTGACACGAAGATTTACTAAGCATACACAAAGAGGTGCAATAAAAATATCACCGGATAGCAATTGCTAGGAGATACTCAACAATAACAAAGATAATGTATGGCAATAAAAATACTTTTCAATTTAAAATTGCAGAAGCAGTTAAAATGAGAACCCTGTAATAAATATACAACAGAACACAGTAACTTTACTATCGACAAAGAAACTATTAATAAAGAGAAATAATGGATCAACGCAAAATGAATTTTTAGAGCCAATAAAATAGGAACGCAGATATGTAAGTATATATAAGATATAACCAATAGCTGATAACAACTACATTGAAGATGGCAAAAGATTACCGTAAAAAAGCTTTTTCTGTATAAGATAAAAATGAATAAAAAAGTAGTAAAGAACTTTGTTTTCTCTATAAAAATGATGATAAAAATACAATACTAAACATAGAAAAATTGAACCAAAAACTTAACAAAGCTGAAAATGCAGTGATATTTTTTAACAATTGCATCTTCTACAGTCATAATCCTAATTATTATTATTGTATATTTATTACAGGGTTCTCTTTGTTTATGTACAGTTTTTCTACAATTTTAAGTTGAAAAGTATTCCAATTGCAATACAGTATCTTTGTGTTATAACATAATAACACATTAAAATAAAAATAATATTTAAAAAATAATAATAAATTTAAACTAAAATGACTAAACAAGCTTTTTTCGGCAAAGTTGCTTTATAAGTGTTATTATTTCAAATATAAATTTACATTTATAAATGTTGTAACTATAGTAACCAAAAACTGAAAATGAAACGATCAAATTTAGAAGTAAAGTCAAACCTGCGTATAAAGAATTTATTGGTTCCAGGAGAAAAATCGTTTTATAAAAATTTTGTTATATAAAATTTGTTCGGAAAAAGTTCTATATTGCTTATAAGATGTTTATATGCTAAATATATATGAAAACAATCTTCCAATCATTTATTTTGATGACAGAGAGTAATAATACATGATATAATTATAACAAATATAAATTTTAAAATAAATAGATTTTTCCATGCAAAAATGATTCTGAATTAATTGAAATTAATCAAATAAGAATTCACAACAATTACTAGAATACTAGGATAAGAAACAATAAATAAGGTTCTAAGAAATTAAGGGAGTACAAATACACCGCTCTTTTTTTTAACTTTTTCAAATTTCGTTCATTAAACAGAAATTAAGTTTGTTCTATAGAAACAGTTTTATATAAAAAAATTTGCTGTATTGTTTAAATATTTTTTAAAAGTTAAATTGATTTTAATTTTATGAATATATGTCTGAATAATTGATTAGACTATTCACGTATATATAATTACACATATTTGTACATTCTAACATAAGAAGCATTTTTTTGAACAATATTTGTCACACCCACCTACACACACACACATATATATTTTTATTGAAATTAACCAATTTTTACCGTTAATTAATTTACAATTAAAATTATTAATATTAGATATTAAATTCTCAACATAGACATCTAATACATAACGTTAATAGTTTATATTGTATATTAATTAACGGAAAAAATCGGTGATTTCAATAAAAAACTGCTTAGATTATGGTCTTCTACCCATGAAAATTGGTGAACTTGTATAATATAAATTTGTAAAAAAAACACTATTGTTTTCTATACAAATTTTACAAATGTTACTAGGTCAAAAACTTATATATAGAAATATTAACCCTACCAAATTAACCTTGATACAGTGGCGTAGCGAGAGGGACATTTATGCAAAATTAGGTAAGATATGAAAGATAAATTTTAATTAAAATTATCTATTTAGACAAAATATATCAGTCTGTGAATACTTGATTAGGAAATAAATATAAATTAGTGGTTTTTGGTATTAGGGCGATACAAGGAATAAAAGTTTTTGTTTTATTTTCGATAACTAATTTGAATATTTTAACACAAAAAAGGCACGTTTTCAAGTTTTCTGATTTTATTTTTAAAAATAAAATCAAATGCTTAAATTCGAAGTTTATAAAATATAAACATTTTTGAAGCAACATTTAGACAAAAAAAATTCCACAAATACAAAATGAACCTATTCATTTAATAGCTAAATCTATTCGAAATTTTTTGTTTCCTAAAATTCGCAATGCAAAATACTATGGTCTTTTATTTGATTCAACTGCTGATATTTTCCATCGAGAATAAATGCCTCAAGTTGTAAGATACGTTGATATTGACTAAGAAAAAAACGGTTCAGATAGATGAATCTTTTCTTAGTTTTATACAAAATAAAAAAAAATGCTAAAAGTTTAGTAGGAACTATTACTAGTAAATTAAAAGAAGGCATAATAGGTATTGAAAATTGTCGATCTCAATGCTACGACAACGGTAATGTTATGGCAGGTCATAAAAGTGGTGCAGTGAACGTATAATGGAATTGAATCCTTGAGCACTTTTTGTGAATTTTAATAAATATTTTTTAAGTTTAGTGGGTGTAGATGCAGCCAAAGAAGATATTACAATGATAACATTTTTTGGAATAATGGAAGAGCTATATGTCTTTTGTTCACGATCAACACAAAGATGGCAGAAATTGAAAGATGGTGTTCCTATTTTTCTTAATTCAAAATCTGAAACGAGCTAGAATTTGAAAACTGAAGCCATAAAACCTATTGAAGACCATTTGGATGCAATATTAATAGTACTTGAGCAATTTACTAAACGATACCTCCCAGACTATTGAAACAAGATCTGAGACAAATTCCTAACATCAAAGAATTTTTTCTTTCGACTTTATTAATTTGAAAGTTTTCTGGTATCGAAATTTATTGATCGTGTTAAAAAGTTAAAAAAAGGCTACAGGATCCTAAAATGAATTTTTATGACGCAGCCAAGGGTATTGAAATCTTTAAAAATCAGCTATTTAATGACAATGATAAGAACTGATTGTTATTGAATGTATTGAAACGGGAGAGAACCTGTGCAAACAATACGACGTGGAAATTGAAAGATGAACGAGAAAAAATAAACAAATGTCTGGAGAAACATGTTGAGAAAGCCGAGAAATCGAATGCCGAGAAAGGACAAGGAAGAATTATGAAAAATGCTGTGGACAAAATAAACTCAGAGATTAGTGACAGGTTCGCACGACTAAATGAAGCTGATCAAAAATTCGGGTTCAGTCTAGATTTGAAAAATTTATTATATAATAAAGAAAAGGATAACTTGAAAATACAACGTTTACATTTAGCGGAGTTCTTCAATTCAGATATTGATGGTACCAAGTTATATCAATATCTCAAAATATCTGGTCACAAAACGCTATTGGCTACACGTAAATATTCTCATTTTAACATCAGAATTTTTAAATTTATAATTGAATACGGAGACCAAAGGGTTTTTCTTAATTTTCAAATTTTAAAAACAAACTCTATTGCTACTTGTGAGCGATCATTCAATAACTTAAAATTAATATTAAATTACTTATGAACTTCAATGAGTCAACAGCGATTGTACAACTTGGGGTTACTGAATATTGAAAAAATGAAATGAATGGTTTAAATTTTGAATAGATAATCAACGAGTTTGCTTCAGCATAAGCCAAAAAATTGACATCTAATGAAATTTATCACTTTTTTACAATTCATTTTTTTAAATAAAACTAAAATATTTGTCTA